ACACAAGAATACATCAACAATGTATTACCTATCTATGCTGCACAGTCATCTACAACTGTTACCTACCACCATATAAAGCATGTCTTTTTCCAAAAATTGAACTTGTTACTGTAACCACAATTCCACGTGAAACAGAGAAGCCAAATCTACTAGGTATACCAGTACAATTTTTTTTTGTGGCAGAGAAAACCAAAATATATCACCAAATAGTCTTTTTTATCTTTCCTGGGTTCCGGGTGTAAGTTGATGGAAACTGAGAGGAGACTCCATGAAAAAAAAGACCACTAATGAAAAAAAAGACCACAAAATATATCACCACTATTTGCACTCTTTTCCCTGAAATCAAAACAAATCATACAATACCCCATATGGATGCTTAATTGATAAAAAAGAACAGGAGTAGAACTTACATGTCTGCCTGGATAGGTTTGCCAGCACAAAATAACATATGCCTCAACCATCGAGAAATCCAAGGGGTTATTTCCGTGGAGGTAAATTTGTGGCAACAGATCTGAGGTAAAAAAAAAAACAAAAAAGCTTCTTTACCAACCAGTTCAGAGATGGGAGTTCAGAGCAAGGTAACTCCAAAAAGTAGGTTATTATTATACCTCTTTCATCTATTTATAGCCTATTTCCTTCATTAAATGGCGATAGCTTCGCCCACGCATTACCCGTTGCCATAAGTATGTTACACGTTCTCCAAATCTCATTTGCATCTTTTGCTGAACAAGCCTAACCACCAAGAAAATGCAAAGGGTTGAGTCACGGACTGATGGTAGAAAATTGTGGTAGTCAATTTATGAAATAACTGACCATCTCGCAAGGCACCTCTGGATGCCTCGAGTTATTGGCCGAATAAAAGATGGATCTCTCTGTTTATATAATAAGCCCACCTAACGATATGATAGTGTTAGTCTGATCTTTAATACTTAATCATCTCAAACTTAAGTGTCAATGCAAAGATCAATAACTGCTTTAAAACTGTGTACCTCCAACATCGCAACAATTGAAGGATCGTCCAGTATTTCAAGGCTATCGTCGGCTAAAAAATTAACCTACTCAAGACGGAAGATGAAAAATATTAAAATCCATGACCAAAATCTGGGAAGGTATCTCAAATCACATCCAAGCAACATCTTATTAAGCAAAAAATTAATTTTACATAGCAGGATGAAGAGGTCCCTCAAGATCAACAACTATTCAACAGAAGTGATAAGTTAAATACATCCCAACCGTGTTTGTGACAGAACGCTACTAGTACTTACCAGACAGTCTAGAAATGTATCATCAAATTAGGCAGCATTTGACCACAACATCAAAAAATCTCCTTTATATAAATATTAAAGTGGCATCTTTTAGTGCTTACAACCGATTATTGCATTTTTGTAAAAACCAATAAAAAAGAGTTCCATGTCAAATTTTTAATAAAGAAATTTATGAAGAAAGAATTGTGCACCATGTCATCCATAAGACACTATTGTCCTAAGCTCCTAGATTCATCTTCACTTGATCCTTGCCATTGTTATCATCAATCCCTACTGTAGCATATACCTATAAGAATTTTGGTTAAACCATGATTCACTTATACCTCTGGTCTATCATTTCAAACATATGAGAGAGTAGCAGCAAAATACACAAAGACCAAATAAATAAGAGATCCATGTCATCTTTTAGTTTAAAAATTTTACCTACGAGGACTTCAATTAAACCATAATTAACCCACACCTTTGGTCTATCATTTCATCCCTGAGTAAGAAGCAAAAGAAGTAAATTGATCAAGTTCATAAATTTATTTTTTTCTCATTACAAAATCCTCTTTTGATGGGGTGAACAACATTACTGCTTCTTTCTTACCTTGCACCATTGTGAAATATAACATCAATATCAAGAATAGACAACCTCTTTCAATGGCATTTAGAAACTAGACTATCAATAACAGAGTGGTAAAATAAAAAGGACAAAAATGACAAAAGAAAATAAATCCTGGGAAGAGAAATGCAAGATTTGATGATTTACATGCAAAATCGATCAAAGGACCATTTGCAAACATTTTCCCCTTAATAAAATAAACTGATCAATATTTCAATGACAAACATCACTGTGACCACAGAAACAATGGAAGAATATGCAATGGAATTCAAAGAAATAAAGTACAATGATCAAAGACATTTAGAGAAAGCAAGAAGTTCACGTGAGACCAAATGATCTAGCTAGTAAATTGGATCAAAAGCAGTAAAGAGTGTATAATGAGATCTCTTACACCAAATTCAACATTCACAAATGATTGGACAAAATCCATGAGTTGAATCTTTGCCCACTTTAAGGATGCAACAGGATCATCAGTGTGAGGTGGATGTCTCCAAGGAGCACCAAAATGTAATCGATCTATGGGAACTGTTCCAGTACGTACATCAGAAGCAAACTTCTGTAGAATGACTAGAACTGATTCCATTGCTGGGTTCACCACAGTTACCTGGTACGGAACAAATTAGAAACAAGAAACCCTAGAAAATGTTTTTGACCAGATTTAGGTCACTCTAATGATCACTCTTTGGATATGTATTAGAATTCAATGGGAAACAGAAAAAAAGTGTAATTCAGATGTAGGTCACTCTTTGGATATGTATTAGACTTCAACATTTCTAAACTTCACATATCGTAATGGAATCATGATTTTGTATTATATTTGCCCATGAATACTAGTACAGAGGAGAAATAGTAATACTAATAAAAGATTACTATGCTAGAACATGACATTATTTTAAGTAGATCCAACACCAGCAAAAGTTTAAAGCATCATGCTGCCAATAGGAAGATTCTCAAACAACTGTCAGTGTCCTGCTCTTATTCGACATAGAGGTTGGACAATAATTGAAAAAAGGAAAGCAACAGCTCATGAACACAGTGATTTTAATATATAAGCCAAGTTTGCAGGTATTACACAAGACTAGAATAAAACAATGTCTTTGAAGAAAATAAAATATTTGAGTCAAGAAATTAGACCAAATCAAATCATTAGTTAAGATTTTATGCACTTCAGAAATACAAAGAATAGTAATATAAGAGAAATAAGGTCTCACATAATTATTGAGTATGCCACCACCTATGTGCGTTGCAAATGTCATGATAAACCTAATTTTTTTCCTTCAGATAAACATTATCTTTTACTATACAATATAAATTGCATTATATCATGGTAAATCACATTTAACTCAGGTACAAGATCATGAGCACAAAAGCAGACTCATGTACATAACCCATATACCAATATATGCATTCCTCAATCATAATGAATGGCGTCGAAATAAGGTATTGAGGCTCCTTGTTCTAGAGTACAGCTCATGATTAAATTGATATGCTACTTAGTTACTTTCCGAAAAAGCAACAGAGCACTCCACATGAGTTACCTCTCAATCTTGCAGATGGTAAGCAAACTACTTAAGGGGAAAAAACACTTACTTGCAGATATGCCAAGTATGCATCAACAACATCCTCAAAATTACTACTGCCATCCCGCATTACCCTGAGAAAAAGGTGCTAGTAAGTCACATGCAATCAAAACTAGAAAACTGTAGTGCCTAATTTCACATACATCGAACTACAACTAGCACGCCAATAGAAACACAAATAATATGCATATATTATCATTACTTAAATATATGATTTGTGATATCTATGCTTCATAAACATGATAATATAGCATGCTCATGTTATCGACTTTTAAATTTTAAGTACATGACTTCAAGAATGTTATATGCAAAGTTCTTTAAAATATTGTTCAAAGTATATATAAGCAACGATATCTATTTTTCTTTTAAGTATGTTTACAGCAAAAAACTACGATCCTCCAGCAAGATACGCATATGTGCTAGCGAACTTGAGATGTGCCTAATGGGGCCTAATGGGCTGAGCCCAACCCATCAAGGCAGCCTACTAAGCAGCTCTATTCCATCTCCTCTCTATTTTGTCTTATTCTCCTCCCTAAACCAAATAACAGCACAATTCCTTTCCCTAATTAATAAATATAATTATTTAAATAAAAAAATGCTATTAAATTAAGAAAATCAGGGACAAAATCACAATGTCACATTAATAAAAAGTTTCAAAAATCAAAACAATAAAATTTTACATCAAATCTATTGAGTTACTCTGTACACTTGCCATTTATTGTGAAACCTAACAATAATTTTAAATAAATAAAAATTAATAGTATTAAAATCAAAATAATATATTATTAATCTAATAAAAAAATATAATTATTAGTATACAGTTAGCAGTATACTGTTAATATACTGTTAACAGTATAGTCAGAAGAGTGTGAGAAAACCGAGGCTGTTGAGGCAACGACAGCGATAACAGGCGACAGCTATAGTTGGAGCGGGAGCGGCGAGCGATAGCGAGAGTGGGAGCTGCGAGCGACAGCGAGAGTGGCGCGTGACAACGGAAGCGGCGACAGCAGTAGCGAGCAGCGATTGTGACAACGGCGAGCAGTCGGCAAGCAGCGATTGTGACAGCGGCAAGTAGCGACAGTAGCGACGAGCAGCGACAGTGACAACGGCAGCAAAGAGCAACGACAACGAAGAAGATATTTCGACGGCAAAATCACGAGTGTTAGGGTTGGGGAAGTCGGGGAAATCGCGAGAGGGAGCTTGATATCGGTGATTTAGTTGGTTCGATTGAACCAACTAAAGCACCGGAGACCAACCAGACCTAAAAATCTAGTTCGGTCGCCTAGTTTAACCCAGGCGCTCGCCCGAAGCGCCCGGCGCCTAAGCTCGGGCGAGCGCCCAGGCGGCGCCTCTTTGAAGCACGCCGCTTGAAAATGAAGCGAGGCGCTTGAGCCTCACCTTGCCTCCCCCGAGCACCTAGGCGAGCGCCCGAGCGCCTATTGTAATCATTGCTATAAAATAATGGTACTACGTACTTTGTGCACTCAAAGTATATTTGCAAGCATATTTTGAATAAGATCGTCATGAGCTGGGTATAAGCACGATGTTAATGTGTGCATTGCATAAGCATAAAAATATATTGCATGCATGTATGTGTATTAATGACATGCAATGTGAGAGTAACATATTTGCTATGACATACAGTGTGAGAGTACACATATATGTTATGATGCGCGATGCACATATACGACATGTGATGTGGAGTGCATGAATATGCTATGACACAATGCATGCATATATTATGACATGCGGTGTGGGAGTTCATATATATGTTACAACGTGCAGCGTGGGAGTGCACGTATATGTTATAACGTGCGATGTTGGAATGCACTTGTATATTATAATGTGCGGTATGAAAATGCATGCATATATTATGACGTGCGGTGTGGGAGTGCACATATATGTTATGATATGGAGTGTAGAAGTTCATGGATGTGTTATCATTCCTACTCGTGCACATATGCATTTTAAGTTACTTCAACTCCAAATTTTACCTCTTTATTTTGCATTTGTTATAATATGGTGTTATATTTACAAAAGAAGTCATAAGATGATGTATTTACTAAAGTTCGCAATTTTGTACAGTACCGGAGTATCGAGCTCAACTCGGTACGGTATAGGGTATAGTAGGAGTATACCGAGCGATACATTTTGGTGTACCGCTCGATATATATATATATATATATATATATATATATATATATATATATATATATATATATATAGTGTAAAAAAAAAGGCAACGTCGCCTCGTTTTTTGCTCATGTGGGGAGAAGAAACCAAGGTTTCCTTCTCGCGCAAAAAAGGGCGACAAGGCGACGTCTCCGCCTCGTCACCTCGTTTATTTTGCCCATGTGGGGAGAAGCAACGTCGCTTCAACGACGCTCGGTTTCTTCTCCCCGCGACGTCGCCAAGGCTTCTTCTCCCCACGCGGATGAGAAATCGCTGACGATGCCGAGGCCTCGTCGCCTCAGACGAGGAGGCAACATCTCATCTGCGACATCCGGCGAGGGAGGGCGACGACGTATCAGGATCGTCGAGGGAGAGAGATGCCGAATCTCCAAGTTCTCCCTTTTCTTCTCCCTCTTCTTCTCCCTTTCTTTCTTCTCCCTCCACTAATACCACCTAGTAGCAGGCGACGACGATCAAAATTGACTGTCACCGACTGATTTAGGGTGGTAACAGGGTGGAAACAGCCCCAATCAACGGTACCGCCCGGTAGTAGGAGGTCCGCGTACAAATTTGTTGGCGGATCGATACGTACCACCCGTTACGAGCAGTATTATTCGAAATTAAAATCCTTGATGTTACTATTAAATTTATAAATATGATTTCGAAATGTTACATACATGACATAATGCATACAGCATACTCACCTAAATAAAACTATAGGGGCTTATACTTATTGAGTTATTATCACTCATTGTAGATCATATTTTTGTAGGTAAAGACACTAGTACCCCACCAAAGTGATAGGCAGGGAGGCAAGCAAGTGCGAGCCCATGCCAGCGTAGATATAAATGATGACCTATGAGCATTTTTGTGTATATAAATTTCGAATAGGATATACATGTGTTTTTCTTTCAATTGTGTTTATAATTGTGTACAATTATCAAATACTATTGTGTACAGGAGAAACATTATCATTTTATTTACCAAGTTAGCATATTTCAAAATTGCACACTTTTCTACTACTATTATTGATAGCAGTAGTAAAACTAAAAAATGACATCCTACCTTAGCCATGCATATATGATATGTGTGAAACTAAGAGTAAGGTGTTTAAAAAGCATTCCTAGAAGATGAAGTATTTCCTAAATTATTGACAGAGCATATCAATAATAACCTTGATCAGAAAATAAAGCCTTGGAGAAATAAAGAAGGTAAGCCAAACCACAAAATGTCCACACTTTATTTCAAGACAAATAGAAAACAAATGATTAATTAAAACAATTAGATCCATCCCTATCAATTGAAATTGAACCTTGAATTTTACTCAAATCTTGTTATTCATGGATATGGACTGAGAAGAGGACATGCAAACTGGAAGTGGTACATATTAAAATATGTAGTTACTTCTAAATCCTAATAAACTTATTCAGTTAGAAGAAAAGGTAGTTACTTACTCCAAGTAAAAACAACTTTTTTTAAGCATGTAAAGCTCAGAAAGTTGCCGAGGATTTGGACCAAGAACCTCATCAATCACTTTCCACTATCACTTCACAAAAGATGTATTTAGTATATAGCATTAAAGTTGTTCGGAAATAAATAATTAGCAGGAAGAAGTAATGACCAACGAACATAAAGAAGCAAAAGAGGAAAATTTTCATAATGATCAAAGAGTCACTACTACCTCAGATTCACTAAAGAACTGAGAGACCATATGCAGCTTAGCTTCTTGATGCGTCCAGCCGAAAGTCTTTAAGATATTGGTTTCAAATGCAAGTTAGCCAACAATACAAAAAGCATGCACAAAGGCAGAATAGAAATCAGTAATTCACCAAAGAGAACATTTACCAAACAAAAAATGTTGATTTGTTAAATTACTAATAATATTGAAGATTCAACAAAAAGGAAAAAGAGCACAGGAAATGTACCTCACGTGAGATAAAAATGTCTGGAAATCCAAAGTCAATGAATGCTTGGTAGGAATAGTAACTGGAAAACACAAGACAATCAAGTATTTCATATATAAGAAATAAAGCAAAATATACCGCAGATAAAGTTAATAGATGCAGTAAAAGAATATGCAGAGATTCTTGTTTGGAAGAAAAGGATGCTGCACCATCTTGCTCGAGTCAATAAACAAAAAAAAATGAAAAAAAATCAACTACATCAGATATGTCAAGAAATGCACGTTTGGACGTCTGGATGATAACAGGCAAGACCAAAAACATGTTACAGGTTCCTTTAAGCATCAGCCATGAGCAATTGACTGCATCCCTAAAACCATGAAGTTTTGGCTGAAACAACATCATATGGGACAAAGATTACCATTCCAACAAAAGGGCTTGGGGACCACCCCATTTCATGAAACTTAGGCAGCAATTTCCAGACTTCAACCAAATTTTAGATGAACTAAACCAGCTACATAACTTCAAATTTCAGATTAATTAACTGAAGTGGACTGGTCCAGTTTCACTTTTCAATTCAGAACAGATTAGCACTCGTGACTCTAGGCCTTCTGATTCCGTGGTGGCTACACCTGTTCTCAACTCATCACCAATGGGCCTAAGGGAGAAAAAGCTGCATGAGAGAGGATATCAGACTAGGAGTAAGTAATTTTTTTCCTTTTTCTACCCAGCTTTTTCTTGGGATACTGAAGACATGTATCATCCCAGCTGACAGTCCAACCCACAACCTAGATCAGAAATAAGACATCAAACCCTTACATGAAAATAGATATGGCATCAAATATGTACAATATAATCTACGGATGGAAAGAAGGCATTTTTTTTCATAAGCACATGATGGAACCCACAAAGTTGAGCACCAACTGAGCTACTGAGTTCTCACATTTATATATCCTTTAGAAGACACCATCACAATCCATCAGATGGATAGAACCATTATTTTTTTAGTAATAAAACATGCATCTCAAACAGAAATTTAATTTGCAGGATTTGAGTATCAAAGCAGATGACTGCTTAAAATGAGTATGCTCGAAGGACACAGATTACACTATCACATAGAATGAGATGCCTGAGTCAATTGATGAACAGTACCCCAGTTAATATTGCTGATGAGTAAAACAAGAAGCCATCTAGTAGAATAGATTCTTCGCCCAAGATATAGACCCAATCTTAACAAAACAAATAATATTAATAAGAGCATCAAAACTAAAATCCTACTGGCAAAATGATAGAAATACCAATTTAATATAAGATATTTATAGTGTTACGGTACTGCACTCAACTTTCCTTAGTGTCAAGGATTTATCGTTTATGAGATTCACAGCTCTGTACCTATAAAAAAATGCTGATGCATGATTAACAAAGATATAATTAAAATGATATTGTCCAAGAAGAGAAAGTTAACTATCATGTATGAACATAAGTGCTGAAGAGGATAACATCGGAGCCTTACCTATCTGATGTTACAAGAATGACAGGCAAGCACCTATCGTTCGCACCTAGGGCTATCAATCTCCATATGAAACTATCATGATACACTGCAGCAGAAACTGTTGAGTCATCTGAAAAAATAGCCTTTCGCAGAACGTCAACATTGTTTATAACCAGCTTAGGCTGCATTAATAAGATGTTACAGGAACACATAAGATATTTAAGTTTGTATCAGATACATATACCAGATCTTTCCACAAGGAGCCCATGGCAAAGACAATCAAAATAGACAAAAGTTGTACGTTACTTATTGGTTTAATAGAGGTGTATAAATGATAGAGGAAGAAAGAAGAGGAAAGAAGGAAGAGAGAAGACAATGAGAGAAGACAAGAGAAGCCCTTTCCTTGCTTAGATATCCTTGCTTAGATAGGAGAGAAACAAAAGGATCACTCAAAATCATGTATTTCTCTTCAAATACCTCCACTTCTGGAGAGGAAGAAAAAGGGAACATGGAGACAAGTTGGTTCCATCCATTTCTATCACAATATTTGAAACCAAATGAGTGAAAGTCTCTTCACCTCTCTTGTTAATTTATTATAAAAAAATAAGAGAATAACTTTAACATAATGAGAGAATAACTTTCTCGTCTTCTACCTCCTCATCTCCATTCAATCAGACCAAGAAGTTTTCATGTCAGCATTCCAAGCATAAGCACAAGAGACAGACTCAAAAAATCGAGAAACAATCAGGATGCTCAGCTGAGATTCATCACCAGAAACTTTTCTGCTAAAGAGTTGGCATGATGTCAACTTTGCTGATCATGTACTTTTTAAAAACACTTTGTTGATCAACCAGCAGATGAAAAAACTAATCATCAAGATTGCATGCAATCAACTTCTGTGCTTCTTAAAAAGAAACAAAACTTGGAGAAAGAATACAGGTGAGTGATCCAACTCAACCATTTGAGAGATATGTGACATACCAAAATAAGAACACCCTTTACGACTTCAAGAATTATTTACCCAGTATATCAAAATAGGGCTTTGGCAAGCATTAAGTGCAAAATTTAGAATTCAGAGTCTATGAAACAATCTAAAAAGCAGAAATGATACGGGAGCGTCTAATTTGCTATAATCAACTCGTGTAAATCTTGTTGATCCTATGGTATTCTCTACAGCCCACAATGTTTATCCTATAGCCTTTAATCCAAACCTCTCAAATATGACAATCCATAAACCAAATGAGTTGCAAGCTCATTTTCCAAACCTGCAGATATCCCAACTTGATTGAATAGCCCGAATTGATTGTTAAAGTGTTAAGGGGCATGTCTTTATAAGTCGAAAAAAAACTCAGACTCTTAACTTTCCAGCTGTTTCATTAATAAATGATCTGGTGGGCAAATTCAAAGAAAAAATTAATTCAACTAATCTTCATAACCAAGGAATGCATTAAAGTACTTAGATATCAACAGTAAAGTAACAAATTTCATAATTTTCTATGCATGGAGGGTTGTTTTATGCACTAGTATTTATTTTGATGTTTTAGAGTTAAAAAGGATTCAGACTTTGATTGTATTTCTTGGATATTTCCTTGAGACTTTGATTGTATTTCTTGGATATTTCCTTGAGTAGTGAGTCTTTTTTTTTAAGTTCTGTATTATTGTTTAATTGTCCTTCGGGTGGTGAGTCTCTTTATCCCTTTGTGATTTTAAACTTGATGAATCCATTTATCTCCAATCCAAATATGTCCATTCTTTACCTGGAAGAAGTCGACTTCCGCTGCTGCAGAGAGGATGTCGAGCAAGATGCAGGGCCAATCGGTTGAAGAATTCGCCAGAGACCTTGAGAACCCTCCCGTCCAGTTTAGATGTTTCATGGGCTCCCTCCTCCACTCCTGATGCATTCCTATCACCTCCTTCGCAAGCTTTAACGATGTCACCGCCTCCCTCATGTACGCCACCTCGTCCATGGAGTATTTCCTAGTACCACCAGTGACCATTGCCTTCTCCTCCGCCACAGCAAGAGAGACATTGATCTCCCCTGTTCCAATCCGCACTGAGAAGGCGAGCAACGCCTTAGACCAGAGGGCGGAAGCAGAAGCCGCCTCGTCCTTCTTAGACAGGCGACCGGGGCCAATGATGCGTCGGAGGGCGGTGTCGAGGCCGTGCCATTTGTTTAGTGCGGTGAAGACGTCACGACTGCCGATGGTACCGCGGCGGACCCCGTGGTCGACCAGGGCCTCGAGTTCGCGCTCAAGGCGTCCACGCAGGGCTCCCAGAGCCGGCAGCGCCGAGGCGGCGGAGAAAGAGGCCCAGGGGCGGGTCGCAGAAGGGTCTCCGGCGAGGTCGACGTAGGCTGCGACGTGGGGGCCCTTGTTCCACTCCGGAAGGAGACCTGCAAACAGGAACAAGATGAGATCCTTAACAACGAATATTAACCAGTGTAGGAGGGCGGAGGAGGAAGGGGACGGACGGTGGAGGAGAAGGGAGGTCTTGCCGACGCCGCGGGGGCCGTGAAGGACAACGGGTTGAGGGACGCGGTGGTGTAGGGCGTAGTTGTTAAGGATCGTCTCGAGGAGAGGCCGAGGGATGATCCGCCACCCCTCGGCCGCCGCCTTCACCGCGGCCTTCGCCACCTCCGCCGCCGCGGGACGCCCCATGTCTTGCGGCGGACGCAGTCGCCCCAAATCCTTGGCCTTTCGAGTCGGAAGAAGATGTTGTGGGCCGTTTCGTTTTCACAATAATTGCTTAGAATTTAGGGATTTAGTTCGATTCGATTGAACCGATCCGGTTCAGGCCTCGAAGGGTCACGGTGATTTAATCAAGTGTGACTTGCTATCTCTCCATGTCGAGGAGATGTTTATGTACTGTCTATCTAATATGTGATTTCCCTAAGTAACGAACGAACGAACGAACGAACGCCTCATTCGAGTAATAACGAAGCACTCTTGTTTATTGTTTGTTTATTGTTTATGGGATCTTTGGTTAGAATCGCAATTGTAGTCGCTTTCGTATCCATCGTTTCACCGTCTTTTATCATCTACTATATATATCTAACAAACACAAATGATAAATATAATAAACCAAACATTCTAACGAGAGTATCTCTTTTCCTCTGTCTCGAATGTAATATAGTTGTTACGATTCATCATTATCTGGCCTCGCAAGTGGTAAGTCTTGTGCTAAAAAAGATCATGACACAGGAATTTTGGCTGAAGAAGGCTTTTTTCCCTGTAAAGTCACTTTACCTATCTCGATAGGTCTTCTTAAGCTGTGACTGTCCAATTCAATCTCAAACATTCTAAGAAGGCTTTCCCCTGTTGCTTCTCCTTTTTCTCAACCCCACACAGCAAACCTCCTGCGGTCTTAGATATTATATCATCATCTTTTGAATATTCAACTTCTTACCTTTCGATCGAATGACACCTTGGCCCATGGACATGCCAATTTTTATTTCCCACGTCGAGGGAATATTTTTTTTCTTCAGCTTGGATTTGGTTCTAATAATATTATTATTCGATTTTGATACGTTGAGATACAATTAGATTTATTTGTCGATCCTTTGTGAGATAATTGATAAAGAGTTTTAATGTCAATAGCAATAGCAAAAGAGTGTGATGTTTCGCATTCTAAATGCAAAATTAGTAGACAAGGCATATAGGATTTCATAGAGCCGATGACCTCAAACATGCATTAACGAGGGCTAGGGGCAATTTCTCATACTTGTTGGTATGACTTGTGGTTGTTCCGCTACATCCGATGGTCGTCCTGTGTGTCAGCTACTTATGATAGAAAAGCCACCGTGAGAGATTTTTTTTTAATAAGAAAGAAAGAGCATCTCCAGCATGATTATAGGAAAATCAATAGAGATTCTTCAACCTATTATACAAGGTCAAAGAATTGATTAATTAAAATAAAATAAAATAAAATTATATTAATATATCTAACTAAAAAAAATAGATTAATAAAAATAAAATTATTTGTGTCATCTTCAGACAAATATATATCTAACTAAAAGTTCAGAATCTAATTTTCAAATAGCCTCGATCATTCAACTATAAAATTTAATTTTATTATTAATAAAAATATACTATATATATAATTAATTATATAAATTTAAAAATACTTAAGGATGTAGTTCTCTTAGATTGAGCTATCATATAAATTCTAAAAAGACCACTAACATGCTTGTATAAAGATAATTTGTGTATGATCTTATCTTACATCTTAACCTTATTATACATTTCTTTATTTTCATTAAAATACTTTTTGATATGGAATATTTCAACCTTAACCACAGATTTGACAACTAGCCACCATCAAGGAGCCCACGTGGAATGACCCAACATGCATTTATGGGAAAAATAGCATATTAGGATCAAGAGCACTAAGAGGGGGGGTGAATTAGTGTAGCAGAAAACTTTCGACGATTAAAGCGACGTTCGTATGATAAAATTGGAAAGTTCTTCAACTTAAGATCAAGCGAAAGTATAATTGAAGTAAAGCAACGGAGGCAGTTTGCAGTTAAGATAGAGAGCAGAATGTAAATGCAAACCGAGATTTAGAGTGGTTCGATCAATCTTGACCTACATCCACTTTTGGCTTTCTCATCCGATGAGGTCACCGACGTCCACTAAAGGCCTTCATTCAATAGGCAAAGACCAACCACCCTTTTACAGCTTTATTTCTTTTGATGGGCTTAGGAGACAACCCTTACAGATTTTCATTCCTCTCTTGAATGATCAAAACTTAGAAAAAAAAAGGGAGAAGAACTTCTAGCCTATTACAACACTTTTAAGCTCTCAAATTCTCAGAATAAATGCAAGCTTTCGATTTTCTTTCATGCAAGAAAGGGTGGGGTTTATATAGGCCCCAACTAGTTTGAATTTGGAGCTCAAAAGTGTCATCTCTCGGATTTCTAGGGTCCTGACGGTACCACTGTCATAACTGGGTAGTACTACCGCTTGACATCTGACACTAGGCAGTACCACCACCTGGCAGAGCTCGGAGACCGAGCTCTGGCGGTACCACCACTTAGCAGTAATAACTGCCAACAGTACCACCGCTTGACAGGAGCAGTACTACCGCCCAAAATTCCTGGGAGACCAAGTCTCCTGGGTGGTGCCACTACCGACCCTAGCGGTGCCACCGTCGGCCAGGAATTCTGGGTCCGAATGGGCTAATCCATTCGACCCAATTTGGCTCTATTCAGGGCCCAATTGGCCCCATATTAAGTTAATGGGATCACCTCCCAATTCTAACTTAATCTACTTGCTAACCATGACACTTAAGACATTAATGCTGCAAATCGTATTCCGGTGCGTCAATCGCTTCTTCCAGCGAGCTCTGGTGAACTTCCGATGAACCCTCGGCGATGCTCCGCCGGACTTCTAGCAAACTCCTGGACTTGCGACGATCCTCTTGGCGAGTTCCGACGAGCTTCTTTGGCAAACTCCTGGACTTCTCGGATTATTCCTATAGAACCTTCGACGACCGTCCGGACTTCCGACGAACTATCGAACCTCCAATGTGATCTTGGTCTTGACTCTGGCTCAACACCTGCTACATGTCTTACTGCCATCGTAGTTAATCCTGTACACTTATCTCAATATACAGATTAGATAACCAAATGATAATTGACTTCATCATCAAAATCCGAGATTCAACAATCTCCCCCTTTTTGATGATGGCAATCAATTGATGACGGAGCTAACCTTAACTCTCCTATCTATATGCCATACTTGAGATAAGTCATTCTTGAATTTAAAGCCTTTGAATTTTGAATTCAAGAAACATATTGATAAGTTAAGTTTATTTAAACTTATCAATACCCCCATCATGATTCCTATCATGATGTTTCTCTCTGAAAATGATGTCAAGGCATGACATCCATTTTCAAGTTTCATATTTCAAATGTGAAAGATAGCAATCATAGCAATTCATCATATGGTAAGATATCAATATTGTAAAATTACGATGCAATCTCTTGATATCTTAACATAATGCAAATGTTTCAAATGTAAGCTCTATGTATAGCAATTCATTCTATCATAAAAATTCATCACATGATAAGATATTAATTTGTAAAATTACGATATAAGCTTTTGATATCTTAACATAAAGCAAATATGACAATCATAGTAATTATAGCAATTCTATCATCAATTTACCATATATTTCTCTGATATCTTAACATAATGCAAATATGACAATTATAGCAATTCTATCTATCATTAATTTACCATATATTTCTTCCCCTTTGTCATTAACAAAAAAGAGAACGATTTAAGCATATTTCAAGCATAAGTGCGGTAATGATTCATGTCATAGAAAGGTTCATGTCATTTTTCAATAATAAGTGATAGGATACCAATTATACAAACATTTCAAGGAAAC